AAAGAAAGAAAGAAAGAAAGAAAGAAAGAAAGAAAGAAAGAAAGAAAAAACAAAAAAAGAAACCCACAGTCACCAAATACCTGTTTCTGGTTCCCCTACACAGTACACCCAGCTCAAACTAGATCACTGATGATCCTGATCCCACCATAAGGCCTCCTGGCGACCCAGTGACCTAGGAACAGCAAAGGAGGGTTATTTGCCTACCAAACCCTCTCGCTCTACATACGCCCAACACACGCTGGCAGCACAGGATCAGAATAACAGCTCGTTAAAACCGTAGTTTGGAGCAAAGGAGTCACAGAGAATCTTTAGGTCTGTTACAATTGTGGAATCCTACTGCGAGAGCATCTTAGAAGCCTGAGGTTACTCAGCCTTTAGAGCTAGCCTCCTGCTGGTGCAAGTGACCCAGCCAGAGATCTGTTTTAGGTCTCCAGAGTTAAAATATTTTTGAAACCAGGTTTATGCTTCCTAAACAATTTACTCCCTTTTAAATGTTAGTAAATTTTGCTCTACTAATTTTCTCTAAGTTTTCCATTTCAACATACATATAAAACACCTTTCCGAAAGGTGTTTTCAGGCCTACCTTGGTGTTCTGTTTTCCTCCCCATCCGTCTCTCTCTCTGCCTCTCAACACTGCAATCATCTGAAGCACTAGTTAATGAGGGAGCATCCCTGTTCTTAATCCTCTCCACCTGACTAACTGACTTTAACTGGCTACCTTGTAGTTTTGACTCCTTTAGTTCTAGAAATACCCAGCTTTTCAGCATTTTCAATGCCTTGTTTAGCTTTTTTTTTTTTTACTTTCTCACACTTTTCTTTTTTTTCTTTTTCTTTCTTTTTTTTCTCACACTTTTCATCCCTTCTTTTATTCAGTAAATGTTACTTGAATATTTTAAGCTGCTTGAAAACTAGTTAAACCATTTAGAAACTCAATTGGATCCACTTGATCTGAATCTACATCAAGTTATACAACATGGAACTCCGCGAAGATAATAAAACACCTAGTTGAATACAGTCATGACAAGAAATAAGGGGCAAGGCCAGTTCAAGCTCCCTATCTGAAGAGTGGAAGGAGTGAGAGTATGAGCAAGGAAGTCAAGACCATGAGGGGTTCACCCACTGAGACAGTTTGCCTGAGCTAATGGGAGCTCACCAACTCCAACTGGACTGGGAGTGAATGAGCATGGGAACAAACTAGTCCCTCTGAATGTGGATGATAGTTGGGGTAGACTGAGGGGCCACTGGCAGTGGCACTGGGATTTGTCCCTACTGCAT